TAGAGTGGGGAAAATCTACCACTTCATCTAAGTTACAGACTATTAGCACAATGAATGTTTTTTGGTTTTTGTTTTTGTGTATTTTAGGCAATTGGGGTTAAGTGACTTGCCTAGGGTCACACAGCTAGTAAGTGTCAAGTGTTTGGTCTGAGGCCGGATTTGAACTCAGGTACCCCTGACTTCAGGGCCAGTGCTTTATCCACTGCACCACCTAGCTGCCCCCACAATGAATGTTTTTAAGAGATTACTATCCCTTATGACCATCATCCAAAACTTTCTACAGAAAAAAGTCAGGTCTTTCAAGAAAACAAAACGTGGACAATGAAAGATTTTTTTACAGCTTCCTTTGCTGGGCTTTCCAGGGGATTATTAAATTAATAGAAAAGTAGAACTGGAAATAATTTAGTCTAAATCCTCCATTGCAATGGTATTCCAAAGAGTCAAAGAATATAGCTGACTGATTTGAATCCTACAATTATTTTCAAAATCACTACCAACACCAGAATTTAACCTAGCCTTTAAAATGTTAGTAGAATAGAGGAGGTGAGGCCAAGATAGAAATGTGGTAGTAAGTAGTGCCATGAGCTCAGCTCCAGAAACTCCTCCAAAAAGATCCAGAAGTCATCTTTTAGGGTACCTGTAGAGGGGAGCTGCCTTCTGGTATGAGAAGCTCCAGACAATGAAGGAAATTCAGAAGCCAGCAATAGCAACAGCAGGGTGTGGCTCAGGCCCCAAGCACAGAGCAGATCTCAGGTAAAGCATGAAGCTCACAGCTGGTACAGGAATAACTAAGGCGGGAATCTGAGACCAAAGGGGACCCTACAATATTGTCACTCTGAACCAACAGAGCTTTCCAACTGGTTGATAAGGGCTGAGTCCAGCAGCAGTCTATTCTCGCTCAGACCCAAACCCAGGTCGAAAAACTTGAAGAGCGCAGACCAAGCAGGTAGCAATAAAACTCTGCCTTGCATCAGAATATTTAGGGAGCACTGAAAGCTTACAGATCCCCAGTCTGTCCCCGAGACCCCGAAATAATATAACACTCAATACCCCAAGAAAGCAGCAACAGGACCATATCAGACCTTCCTTCCCAAAGTGTGGCCCTCACATCAAATCAAAAGTCAAGAAGGAGTTTAGAAGAATGAACGAGCAAAAAAAGAACTCTGCTATAATGACTTATTATGGTGGGAGGGATGCTCAAGACACAAACACAGAAAACGAGAATGACTCCAAAACATCCACAAACAAAGCTTCGCGGAAAAACACAATTCTGACAGTTTCAACTAGAATTCCTGCAAAAGATGAAGCAAGGAGTTTTTTGTTTGTTTTTAAGAGTTAAAAAATGTTTGGGTTTTTTTTAATAAATGGCATGAGAACACTTAAGGAAAAAATAAGAACAGAAATAAGAACTATGGAAGAAAGAATTGGAAAAGGAATTAACAGTTTGACAAGAGAGGTACAAAACCTTGTACAAGCAACAAACTCCCTGAAAATTAGAATGGCCCAAATAGAAGCCAATGACTCTATGAGGCAACAAATAAATTATAAAACAAAATCAAAAGTCTGAAAAAAATGAAGAAAATGTAAGAAAAAAAATTACATGGAAAATAAATCAAGAAGAAAACATTGAATAATCACTGGGCTATCTGAACACCAGGATCAAATTTTACAAAGTCTTATGAGAAAACTACCCAGATCTCTTGGAACCAGGGGACAAAGTGGAAACAGAACAACAACAACAACAAAAAAAAAACAACCCTCCCTACCTTAAAAAAAAAAACTCAAAATGAAAATTCTCAGGAACATCACAGAGACAAAATCTAAAGCTTCCAAGTCAAAGAAAAAATTCTTTGCAGCCAAAAAATTCTTAAGCAGCCAGGAAGAAATAAAAAGTACCACAGAGCCAAAATTAGGATCTCATAAGATTTAACAGCCACCACTATAAAGGAATGGAAAATTTGGAATGTGATATTCCAAAAAGTAATTCTGCTGGACAGGGCCAATGTGGAAATCTATTTTGATTGACTAGATACATTTGTAATGGCTTATATTTTTCTTGTGTTTCTCAATAGGGGTGAAGGAGGGGGTTCGTGTGGGAGAGTTAAAAGGTGGATCTTGGCTTATAAAACAAATATAATATTACATCAACAGCAATGAAATGCTATTAGTATAACTCCCTGCCAAGATGGCTGCCTGAGAGACAGACCTCTTAGATACCACATACCTATTCCAACAAAACTCCAAAGTTTGCATCAGTCCAAAGAAATCCAATGAAAAACTACAGTTAGTTGTTTATTCCATTATAGAACTGCACGAAAAGTCATCCAGAAGCCCAATGGGAGCCTCTCCACCAAAATTAACGTCAGTACAGCATAGCCTCCCCACCCAACAGGGCACATAAAAGTCAGGAAGATTTGAAGAGCTCCTATGAAAAAAATCCCAGGGTGGTCAGAAAGTCTTAGGGGAGGAATCTTGGAAGCCTCAGGGGGCAGGAGCAACCACTCATAAAATGCTGAGCAGCACAGTATTGCAGCACTCAGTCCCTAACTGTCCCTGAGACTGAAGAAAAGACGCTGAAGATCCAATCCTCTGCACCTCAAATACAGAAGGGCCTAATCTCAAGAGGCAGAGGTCAGCAGAAGAACCCAAGGGACCTACGGTGAGTCCAAGGAGGTCAAACCATACCACCCATAGGTACACCAGGAAGCAGAGCCTGGCTCTGGCTAGAGAGAAGAAAATCACAGAAAATATCAAATGCTACAAAAAAAAAATAGTTGCAAATCTAGAGAGTCTTCAAAAATCCATTCTAGGGCTACATAAATACTTGGGGGAAATGAAGCAAGAGATGAAAAATGAAATAAAAACTCTGAAGGAAATAATTAAAAGAAATCCAGGAAATGGGCTCTCTGACAATTCGCATAGACCAAAAAGAAATCAAAGAGAGAGCAAGATGTATTAGAACAAAACAAAAAGATTGAAAAAAAGAGAAGAAAATAAAGTATCTAAAATCAATAATAACTCATTCAGAAAATAGTTAATGAGCAATAATTTAAGAATCACTGGATTCCCTCTTCCTCTGAGAGTGTTGTGCCCCCATGGATAACATCTCCTATCTCAAGAGAAGAAAACTGGAAAAACTAGAGACAATTGGCATCAAGAAGGTGCAAAGACATGGACCAAGAGAGGAGATTTCATGGCAAACAGGAAAGAAAATGATCACAGGAAAGAGAAGACTGGAGGAAATTTCTACCATGGGGCAATGATCATATCCTCACTACCTCCTATAGGATTTGATGCTCAATGAAGGACACAAGAAAAAAAAATGGGGAGGCATTAAAATGTACAAAGCAATAACATAGAAAATATTTAGAAGATAGAAGCTTTACCTCCATTAGGCACACAAACAAACTAAAGTAGGGATTAAATAAGCATAAATATCATGAATCAAAGAACTTAAGTTCAGAATACACAGAAAGGTAGAAAAGTAATGAAAAGAACACGGTAAAGAAATCCTCTCTAGACAAAGGAGCAAAAAGGTTTTTTTGTTTTTTTTAAAGAGGTCAAAGGCAAGGAGAGAACAGGGAATTTTTAGTTAATTAAATGGGAGATAAAAGGGTAGGAAAAGGGGAAGAATTAGATAAATAGAAGGAAGAAAGAAAAAGCAATAAATTAAGGACGGTAGGGGGTTGAGTGAGTGAGAATAGGGTTATTTTAAGATAGATTAAGAAGCAATGAACTCCCTGAAAACTAAGGTTTAAAAAAAGCATGAACATTATTTTTCAAGAAACTATAAATGAAACTGCCCCAGATCTGATAGAACCAGATGACAAAGTAAAGATAAAAAGAATTCACTGATGATTTCTTAAAAAAATCTTAAAATGAAGAGTCTCGGAAATGCCAACAAATGTAATCACCAAAATCCAAAGCTCAAAGAAAAAAATACTGCAAGCATACAGAAAGAAGCAATTCAAGTACCAAGGAACAACAGTCAGGGTCACACAAGACCTGTCAGCTACCACTATAAAACAAGAGAAGATCTTGGAACACAATAGTCCAAAAAGCAAATGGTAAAAGCTTACAACCAAGAAAAACTTAGCCCACAAAGCTGAATATAATTCTATAGGGCAATAATAATAATAATAATAACAATAACCTTTAATGAAATAAAACTTTCAAGCATTGCTGATAATAAAAAAGAGCTAAATAGGAACTCTGAAATACAAACATCCAAAGAAACTAGAAAGGTAAATTTATTTGAGCAATTGAAGAAATTATATATCCATTTTAATGAGAGGAGAAGAAACAAGTGTCCCCATAGAAGCTTAAGGTTTTTTTAAGGGTACTAAAGGAGTTAAATAAGAAAAACAGAGGTCCTAGCAGTAGATTGGTTCTGTTCTGAGAATTTTAGGAGGGGAAAGAGAAGGGAGATTAAAAGGAATATACTAAGAAAGTAGAACTTGCTATTTCCACAATTAGGATGCATGAAAAGAAGAGTATATACACATGGAGGAAGGGAGCAGAGCAGGCATCAGATAAGCTTCACTTATCTGAAATGGACAAAGGATTGAAAACACATGCTGGAGTGTGAGCTCGCACACCTACCCACCCCACTCCCCCCCACCCCCTCCCCCCACCCCACACAGAGTTTAGTCCTGAAATACCTCAAACTCAACTTGGAACACTGCATTAGCCTATCACTGTGCCTTGCTCGATGGTCTCCTTATCTCATTCCTCAACCCATTGCAATCTATCCTCCACTCTTCTGCCAAACTGATCTTCTTAAAGCAAAGATTTGACCATATCACACACACACATTCTCCCCCACCATTCAACAAAAACCCTATTGCCTACAGGTTGTTGTTATTGAATCATTTCAGTTATGTTTGACTCTTTGTGACCCCACTTAGGTTTTTCTTGGCAAAGACATCAAAGTAGTTTGCCATTTCTTTTTCCACATTTTACAGATAAGGAACTAAGGCAAACAAGGTTAAGTGACTCACCTAGGGTCATACAGCTAGGAAGTATTTGAGGCCAGATTCAAAAAGATGTCTTCTTGACTCCAGGTGGGGGGAAGGGCTCCATCTACTGCTCCATCTAGCCACTATTACCTCCAGCAGCAAATATAAAACCCACTGTTGACTTTTTTTTTGCATTCCTATTAAACATATTTTTACATTAGTGATGTAAGTAAGAATTAGAACCAATAGGAGGAACCACCAGAAAAGGGAAATAAAACTCAACAGAAGAAAAAAAATAGTAAATACTATGCTTCGATCTGCATTCAAACTCCACAGTTCTTTCTTTGGATGTGGATAGCATTTTCTATCATGAGGCCTTTGGAGATGTCATAGATCCTTGCATTTCGGAAAAGGGTTAAGTTTATCAATATTAGTCATCGTACAACATGGCTGTTATTGTATACAGTGTTCTCCTGGTTCTGCTCACTTCACCCAGCATCAGACCATACAAGTCTTTCCAGGTTTTTCTGTAGTCTGCCTGCTCATCATTTCTCATAGCACAATAGAATTCCATCCATATACCACAACTTGTTCAGCCATTCCCCAATGGATGGGCATCCCCTCACTTTCCAATTCTTTGCCACCACAGAAAGAGCTGCTGTGAATATTTTTGTACATGCGGGTCCTTCTTCCCATTTGTATGATCTCTTGGTGATACAGCGCTAAAAGTGTTACTGCTGGGTCAAAGGGTATGCACAGTTTTATAGCCCTTAGGGCATAGTTTCAAAATGCCCTCCAAAACGGTTGAGTTAGTTCACAACAATGCATTAGTGTTCCAATTTTCCCATATCTTCGCCAACATTTATCATTTTCCTGCTTTGTCATCTTGGCCAATCTGATAGGTGTGATGTGGTACCTCAGAGTTGTTTTGATTTTCATTTCTCTAATTAATAGTGATTTAGAGCATTTTTTCATATGACTATAGATGGCTTTAATTTCTTCATCTGAGAACTGCCTGTTCATATCCTTTGACCATTTATCAATTGGGGAATGGCTTGTAGTCTTATAAATTTGTCTTAATTCTCTATATATTTTAGAAATGAGGCCCTTATCAGAGACACTGGCTGTAAAAATTCTTTCCTAATTTTCTACCTTCCTTCTAATCTTAGTTGTATTGGCTTTGTTTATGCAAAACCTTTTCAATTTAATGTAATCAAAGTTATCCATTTTGCTTTTCGTAATGTTCTCTATTTCCTGTTTGGTCATGAATTCTTCTGTTCTCCATAAATCTGATAGGTAAACTATTCCTTGCTCTCCCAGTCTGCTTACAGTATCAGCCTTTATATCTAAATCATGAACCCATTTTGTCTTTATTTTGGTATATGGTGTGAGATTTTGATCTGTGCCTAGTTTCTGCCATACTCTTTTCCGGTTTTCCCAGCAGTTTTTGTCAAAGAGTGAGTTCTTATCTTACCAGCTGGGATCTTTGGGTTTATCAAATAATAGATTACTATAGTCATTGACTACCATGTCTTGCATACTTAACCTATTCCTCTGATCCACGACTCTATTTCTTAGCCAGTACCAAGAAGTTTTGATGATTGCTGCTTCATAATACAATTCAAGATCTGGAATGGTGAGGCCATCTTCTCTGTTGACTTTCAAAGCCCTTTGCAACCTAGCCCCTTCCTACCTCTCCAGTCTTCTTACACCATACACCTTACCATGTAATCTTGCTTCCTTGCTACTCCCCAAATATATTACCCTCTCTCCCAACTCTGGTGTTTTCAGTGGCCCCATGCCTGGAACTCTTTCCCTCCTTATTCCTAAGACCTCTCTTCCTCCTCATTTCTACTACCTAGATTCACTAGTTTCCTTCAAGTCTCAACTGAAGTCCCACCTTCTAAAAGATGCCTTTCCCAATTCTCCTTAATCTTAGTGCCTTTCCTCTGAGATCATCTCCAATTTATCCAGCACGTATCTTGTTTGTACAATTATTTACATGTTGTCTCCCCCATTGGAGTAGGGACTTGGTTGGATTTTTGTTTTAGCCTTTCTGGTATCCTCAAAGCTTGACACATTTTCTGGCACATAGTATGTGCTTAATAAAAGCTTGCTGACACTTAGGATTGGTGAAGGAAACGTGATGAGGTGGGGAACAGTTGGGTGTTAAGAGGAAGGATAATCCCAATTGTGGATAATCTCACACCCTGACAGAGAAGTGATGGATATAAAGTGAAAAGACATACATTTTTGGACACAGCCACTGTATGGGTTTACTTTGCTCATATATGCTAATTTGTTACAAAAGGGTTTTTTTCCCTCTTTCTCTCGGCTGGATACTTTTTAAAGTAATAGGTAGAATTTGTTATATACTTTTTACAAGAAAAGCAAATGGCACAAAATAAAGATTCATTGGTTTCACGGAATATCCTCTTTGTGTTCTGTTTATGTGGAAATGCACTCTCTTCTTTGGCATTAAAATTTAGAATAAAAAAAAGTTTTATGCTACAAGTACCACTCGTGGTCCTTACTTTCCACTTATACCTCTCTCTACAGTTTGACTAAAGTTAACATGTTTATTAGACTCTATACGTAGCAGATATTCTCAGAGACAAAAATACATATCTGCATTAAAAAAAACACAACAGGAAGACCAAAGCAATAGAATATCATAATTCTTTAATACATGAAATAAAGTCCTATTTCTTTTAAGTTCTAGAAACAAAGTCAGTGCCAGAATCAAACTACCCACCTCTTCTGAGTAAGCCATCTTGTGGTCTGTAGCCATTTTCTCTCTAAGTAAGAGATAATAATGTCTGAAATATGAGGAAATGAAAAAATAGATGAAACATCATGTTTGCTTTGCTTCTCATCTTATTTTAACCCTATTAGTATGTAGCTTTTGTACTCATAAATATTCCCATGGATGTGGATTAAGACACAGGAAGCAAATGAAGTCCTCCAGTCCACTGTTTTTAATAATTCCCTAATGCCGTCAATCTCTTCCTATGACTTATCTCTCTTTATCTTTTAAATCTACATCAATTAACTTGGGTGGGTGGATAAATGTGGATAGACACAGTTATGAAAAACCTGGCCATAGGACTATCAGCAAAGTAAAGTAATTAGGATGAAACTAAAGTAAAATATGGGGTTTGAAGCAGATAACAGTGATTAATTTACATTTCTTCAGCACTTTAAGGTTAGCATCGGGCTGAAGAGCAAAGGGGCAAGCACACAATCCTGCTTCACTCTGCTGGTAACTGGGAAAGCCTGAGAGCATCATCCTTCACCCAAAACCTGCCATGCACGGTTTTGGCCATAAAATGGCCAAGCATGCCATCATGAAACTGGCATACAATGGTAACGAACTTTGATGTTTTCCTTGATGCTGTTGGACACCTTCAACAAGGACGAAAACAGCATCAAGGTCAGCTTCCGAACTGATAGTAAATAAACTATTTCATTTGGAAAGGCTACAAGCCCGAGGCTAAAGGAGAGTGGGAATTGGTGCTCGTATTTTTGTTCACACATGATTGTGTATTCAATGCATTCTCTGAGGCCAAGATGCAAGGGAATATGGATTGATTCTCTGCTGCCTGTGCTAATTTTAGCCTGACAATTAACACCAAGAAAAACAGAGGTTCTCCAGCAGCCAGCACTGCCATCCATATATGGAACCTAACTTACAGCAAATGCTGTAGAATAATTTCACTTACCTTTGTAGTACATTCTGCTGGGACGTCCGCATAGATGATGAGGTTGATGCACATCTTGCCAGAGCTAGCTCAGTGTTTGGCAGGCTCCAAAAGAAAGCACAGGAGGGAAGAAGTATCCATCTGCCTACCAAACTGAAGCTCTACAGAGCCTCCATGCTGATTATCTGTGAAAGTGGACAGTCTATCAGCGCCATGCCAGAAAACTGAACTGCTTCCACTTGAATTGCCTCAGAAAGATCCTAAACTTTACCTGGCAAGATAAGATACCAAACACTGAGGAACTGAGGTATCTCTAGAGCACTGAAACTCTATTGCAGAGAGTACAACTCCAACTGGCTGACCACACTGTTTGAATGACAAAGGCACACTGACCCAAAAGACTATTTTATGGACAGCTCTCACAAGGTAAGCATTCACATGGTGGTCAGAAGTAGAGGTATTAGGATATTCTCAAGTTATCTCTGAAGAACTTTAATATTGACTGTGAGACATGGGAAACACCAGCATAGGCCCCCACCATGGTGTACCTGCATCAAAGAAGATACTGTACTCCATGAACAAGGCAGAATTATAGAAACACAAAGGAAGCATAAGCTGTGCAAATCCAGGGCCACTTTCTACATGTTCTACCGGACTGATCTGTGCCCAATCTGTGGTAGTGCCTTTCGAATTCCTGTTGGACCGATCAGCCACAGGTGAACACGAATGCCCCTTACCCTGACTCCCACATTGTGATGTCACAGGTCTTCTTCAAAAACAAAGAAGGAACAGCTACAACAAGGTTAGCAAAACAGTACAAGTATTATCAACCCCATTTTAAAAGGAGGAAACTGAGGCTCAGAAAGTTCAGGAGGTGGCCTGTTCATGGCTAGTAAGTGGCAGAGAGACCCAAGGTTCAAAGTCAGTTTCAATGGATTGCAAGTCTACTGTTCTTCCAATTATACCAGCACAGGATGAAATGAGCTAAGCATATATGAACAAGTCTTTAGGGACTTACCACTTTTTTTTTGGTCTTTTGCCTATATGTCCTTTTGAAACATTTTTCCTCCTCATTCTATGAATTTACCAATAGATCACATGAAAAATATTTGACAGACATTAACCACACATAACTCACTGCAACCCAAGCCTTTTGAATGTCTATGCAATTATTTTAAAATATGCCTAGATTCTTGGTCAAGAAAATTTAAGTTTGGGAGAGGGTAGACATCATGGGTAATTCATATTCTATTCTTTCCTCAGTGACATAAGAGATAAAGAGATGATGAAAGCATGAACCAGGGTGATGGCTATATGAATGGAGAGAGGGGACAGATTCAATAAATTATGTGGAGAGAGAATCGACAGGACTTGGTAACTGACAGGATATGAAGGTTGAAGGAGAGGGAAGGGTGAGAGTACTGGGGACCAAATCCCAGCTCTTCTGCTTTAGGAACTGTATAACAGGGAACAAGGCCCTTCCCTGAGCCTCGAAGATCACAGACAAACTGTTCTGTTTGGCCTTTAAATCTCTTCACCCCAGCTCTCAACCTAGCTTTCCAGACTTATTACACAATACACCGGTTCATCCTGACCCTACTGTTCCTCATAATAAACAGTGAAAATAGCTAACGTTGATATAGTGTTTACTAAGGGGGTAGGGATGGAATGTGAAGGGAGTGGGGGAGGAACACTTTAGACTGCCTTTATATAGCTGTTAATATGTGCAAGGCACTGTGCTAAGCGTACTCCACTTCATCCTGACAATAACCCTGGCAGGTAGTTCCTAATATTTTCTCCATTTTACAGATCAAGAAACTGAGGCAAACAGAGGTTAAACGACTTGGCCACAGTCATGGAGCTAGTAAGTGTCTGAGGTCAGAGTTGAACTCAGGCATTCCTCACTCCAGACTTGGCGCTCTGTGCTCTATGGCACCACCTAGCCACATCTCCCATCCCCACCCTTTTGCACCAGCTGTCTCCAATGCCTGGAATACACTTAATCCTCATCTCTACCTCTGAAAAAGCCCTGCTTCCCTTCCAGGATTAGCTTAAGTGCCACCTTCTACATGAAGCCTTTCTTAATTCCCCCAGTTGCTAGCGTCTCACTACAAAAATCACCTTTTATGTATTTCACATACACTGATATACGTATGTATGTATGCATGCATGCAAGTATGTATGTATGTACGTGTGTGTGTTGTTTCCCCTGATGCAATAGAAGAAGCTCCTTGAGGGCAAAAACTTTTTCTTTTCTGTCTCTGGATCCCCAGTATTGAATACAATGCCTGGCACATGGCAGGGAATTAATACTATTCATGGCAATTAACAGAAAGAAAGGCAAGATGGTGTCCGAGGTCTCCTGGGGCTCCCTAAAGCAGTATCTTGTTCACAACCTGTTATTCAAGTCATTGAAGAGTGGATATTTCCAATTTTAATTTTTTTTAACAAGGAAGAATAAAAACTAAACTAACTCTTGAGTTAAAATTTTAACTATTATATTTTCAAGTCATAAAGTCAACATCAATCTCAGCTGTCTAACTGGCATAAACATTTGTTGAATTTGTACAGGATATCAAAAGTTGGAGACGTTAAAAACTCTTGAACAATGCAATCAAGAAACATGCAGGTGTACAATCCCACCTTTAATTTTACAAAACAAAATTCTACCATTGAACTCCTAGCAAGGAGGAATGAAGAGTTTAAATGGCTCTTTACATCTCAGCTCCTAGTATGAGTTCTCCAATTTGGGTGGTTTTTACATGAAATAAGTCAGATTGCTGTTTTTCTCTATAATTATACCTAACACTAACATAATCTTAAAAAACCTGAAAATCATAATTTGCAGTAGTTCTGCCAAAGCTTCTACTTAATACATATATACATATATATGTATATATATACATATATGTGTGTGTGTATGTGTGTGTGTGTGTGTATACATATAGTATATGGTACTTTACAATCTCCTACAAGTTTTACAAATGAAAACCCAGTTTCAGGCCACACTTCTAACATTTGGTAATGGGACCATGGGCAATTCACTTAACTCTTCTATGTCCTAGGCTACTCCCTAAGACTAGAAATGGCAGAAACAATGCCAATTTGCATTGGCAAAGGAAGTTCCTCTCTGGAAGTTTTCTATACTAACAAAATCACAGATCTACTCAAAAAAAAAATGTATGCTGTCATTAGCTCTGAATTATTGCTTTATCTGGAGCAGCTATGATAGAGCACTGGGCCTGGAGTCAGGATGACCTGAGTTCCAATCCCACTTCAGACACTTAGATGTGTGTCCTTGGGCAAGTCACTTAATCTGTTCACTTCAGTTTCCTCAACTATAAAACAACGATAATAATAATAGCAACTACCTCCCAGGGTTGTTGTAAGGATCAAATTAAATAAAAATTGTAAAATACTATATAAATTTCAGCTAATAGTAGTTGTTATTGAGTCATTTCAATCATGTCTGACTCTCTGGGGCCTCATTTGGGGTTTTCTTGGCAAAGATGCTGGAGTGGTTTGCCATTTCCTTCTCCAGCTCATTTTACAGCTAAGGAACTGAGGCAATCAGGGTTAAATGCCTTGCCCAGGGTCACATGGCTAGTAAGTGTCCGAGGCCAAATCTGAACTCAGGTTCTCCTGACTCCAGGGCCAGTGCTCTATCTACTGTGAGACCTACTGGAGGAGAACTTTAGGGGAACAGAAATTAAGAGCCCTTCAACTCATACTGTTCTTTTTTTTTGTTCTATATTTCACAAATATTTCAGCTTTGATTATAAAAACCACATCTACCAAAATACTTAAAATAAAATTTAATAAGCTTTGTTCATCATTTAGAGTCTTCTGAATAAGCAGAAAAAAGGAGAAAAAAAATATTTTGTCTAAATGGACCTGTGTGCAGGTTTGCAAACTAGACAGGGGGATGGGAAGGGAATAAGCATCTTGATAGTGCCTATGTGCCAGGCACTGTGATAAGGGTTTTAGAAATATTATCTTACTGGAACCTGTACTTTTTTTTCAGCTTGCTGGCCAGAAGGGATTCTAGAGTAGGGGTTTTAAGAAGAGAAAGGAGGTTTCCCACTGCACCAGTGGGAAGTTGTTCTGAGGACAGGAAGCAGCATTTAACTATGCACAGAGGCAACAGTGGGACAAGTTAACAAAGGGGGCAGAAAGATGTGCTTGACAGGAGTATGGAGAGTTAGCAGATGAGTAGGAGGAGATGACACATGAGTTTTAAGTTGGGGTATAATAGAAGAAAAGCCTTAGTGGCAAGTACGAACAGCTTAAACTTATGCAAAAAACAAAAAGGACCAAGTGAAGCTATTTGAGAAGGATAACATAATGATTATAATACAGGAAAGGAAGATTATTCTGACTGTGGCATTTTAAACTGCCGAAATGGTGGATAATTCGGGCAAGAAGTCCTGAAAGGGAAAAAAAAAAACACCATCATCATGAGAGAAGACATCCAAATTTTGGACAAATTTTTTTTTCATAAGAAATGGAAAAGTAGACATGGATTTTAAACAGGTTCTGAATGACGCAGTAGGATCTTGTAGTTGTAGACCCTGGAACAAGTGGAAAGAGAGAAGCAAAAGAGAACCTAAAATTCATTTCAGGTCTTTCACCTGAAAATCATGCAAGAGAAAAGTCCTCTGAAGAAAAAGAAGGTATAAAGTACTAGGCAAGCACATAAAATCTTTAAAGGGTTAAAAAGTGTTAGTGGAGAAGCAATAAATAGTAATTTAGTATTTCTTTAGCATTACTAAAAGTATTTTTATAAACAAAAAAATAAAAGCTCAAAACAAAAGACAACCAGATATTAGCAAACCCAACAGATAAACAAACTCTAAAAAAGTACAGAATAAAAAATATTTTAAAAAGAAAAGAAATAAATTGGGAACCAAAAATACTATAGAACTAATAAGCAAAACTAGAAGATTGTTCTTTGAAAAGACTAACTTTACCCAATCTGATTTAAAAAGAAATATTGGCAATTTATTGAATCTAAAAGCATCAAATATTAGGGATTATAAAATCAAGAATAAATTATAAACTGTATGTATATGTTGAAGACAGCTTACTAAGCTTACGGGTGTTTTGGGCTCTCTTTTAATTGATTTTAACTGTGGCTTTGTAATACTTGTTTTTCAGAAACATTTATATTTTCAAATTTCTCTACAAGCTCTAAAACATCCAGCCATTGATAAATGGTGTTTAATCACGTAAAACACCAACTAGCATTAGAGTCTTTCTCATAGTGTACAGTACCTCTTTGTGACATTATTGAACTAAATAGTATTTAATATTGAGGAAGCTGATGAGGTAGGCGTTTTGGCAAGTTCAACAGCTTTACCACTAGGTGGCGGAGAAACACAAGTATTATTTGTACTACAAGACCAGGCTAGCCTTCAAAGTATTTTATAAGACCCATGGAATTTCCACCAGGTGTCAACCAAGAGAAGATATATTTTTTTCCTTAAGAAAAACACCCATTATTCTGAACCTAACTGTCTAAATTAACCACAATTCAACAAAAATTTATTAAGACTTTGAAAGTTTATGAAAGTTTATAAACTTTGAAGTTCATGAACTACTTTCTTCACAAAAAACTCATGAAGCAGAAAGCACAGATATTTTGTTTCCAATTTACAGGCTCACAGAGGTTAAGTGACTTATACATGGTCACACAGTTAAGGAGGATAGAACCCAAGGGTCTGACCTAGGTGTCTTGACTTTGTTTAGTACACTGGTATCACTATACCATGTACTTTTTCTCCATTAATGCACTGTATCCTGTCTTATGTCAGAGGAGATATTTAGACATGTGAACAATAACTTCATAAACAATGATCTCGAGCTGGATGGGAATTTAAAGGTTATGTATTCCAACTCCCTCATTTTTCAGACTAAAAATCTGAGGCCAGAGCACTTAAAAGATTGGCACAAAGTCACAAAGTGAAAAGCTAGAATTTGAACTCTAGTCCTTCGACCTCAAGACAGTGCTCTCTTTCTCTCTCTCTTTCTCTCCACATGATGGTAATAAGTCCTCCTCCCTGGCCCTTAAATGATTTACACTTCAGAAAAATACTGACATGTGCATAGTCAAGATCCAGTGACAAGAAATAGGTAAGCTACTCCCAATCATGGTCTATTTCTGTATTTCAAAAAGAAGTGGTCGGCAGAACTAACACATTGACTTCACTGTGACCTATCTACTCAATTTATCCAAATATGCTACACTAAAAAAATCTAAAATGTAGAAATGTCGATCTAGAAAAGATGACCAAAATGTATTATTATTTTAGTCACATACTTTTTTTAGTTAGATGCAGAAAGTAAGAAAAAGGGAAGGAACATTAACATTTTAAGTTAGAAATACTATTTTGCCATTTAACTTACCTGCATATTTAGCAAATCTCCTCAGTATCTTATTCCTTTCATGAACTTCATTAGAGCCAAGCTTTAGTTTCAAAGATTTTTTTTAAAGCAATGTTGTTTCAGTCTGAGAGATCAGGAAATCAGGAATTCTCTATTATGAAGGAAGGTCTTGGTAGCTCAACTGTGTTTCTAAACTTCTGAAAAAATGGGAACAGTAATATGTATCTTGAAGATATACATCGAGAATTAATACACTTGCTGAATAATTCAAGGCCTTCAAAACCACCCACATAGGTGCTTTTTAAGACTATGTTTAATGTCATCTAATCTAGAATTAGGACTTCAAAAAAAGCTCAAAACATTATCCACACTATTTCTCCCTCCAGTGTTTTGTTCTTGTTGTAAACAGTATGTCTAAATAAACACTAGATCTTGTTGTCTTTTCCAAGGTTTCATTTTTCTTTTTTCCCAAACCAGACAATTCTTGGAGCCCTCTCTGGACATCATGTCAAACCCTTACAATAAGGCTGGTAGGTGGTTCCTTTAAACGGGACTTTATTTTGAGGAAGTGGTCAGTCCTAATGACTTGGTTGCTGGTTGTTTTTCACAGCAATGGAGTTTAGAGATGCAGAGGACAGCTGCTGCTGCACACAGCCCTGGTCTCTCTTGTCCACGGCAATAATCTCAATGGAAAGACAGGATTCCTTTAACCTCCACTGAGTCGATTTCCACCCTACCCGTAACAGCCAAATACATAGTATTCAACCCATCCTATCTGTCTATTAACCATATTTCTTAAGCCTGGGTTTGTTGTATTTTTTTTAATTGCAATTTCTCTTGAAATTCATTATATCACGTTATGGTGGCCCGTCCAACAGGTTTCTCCCTCTCCCCTCCCCCTTTTACTCTTTTTTCCCCCTATAGATCTTGGTGGGCACATTTCAGCCCTGCCCTCTATGCACGCCCCTGGGCGAGCGGATCCGCAGCAGCCACCCACCCCAGCCTCTCTCCGCCTGCGTCCCCGCGTGTCCCCTACTCTGCCATCCTCGTTCTACCACGGCTATTAGAATCTGCTCGGTAGTAAAGCCTCCTATCCCACTTCTAGAGTTTTACGGTAGCCTGCCCACCAATAGGAACACTCAATGAAGAGAAGTCAGGTTCAGCTCTCCGTCTACAGCAGTCTTCTTCCCTCTGCTCTACACCTACTGTACCAGAAAGGAAGAGGGACGCGAGGGAGGGGGAAGAAAAAGCAGCAGAGCCGTGCGCATGCTCTGTGGGGTTGTTTTTCACAAAGCTGGTTTTAAAGTGAGCTGGCAAGCTGTAGCCACCCGTCTTTGTACAGAGACCACTGATCTGAGAAGTAGCAGGGAGCAGCATCCAGTGCTGTGACTTTTTAAGAAATCTCAATGAACTATTTGTAAAGAATGCACTGATCCTGCCTGCAAGCCTTTTGCACGGCAAAGACGTCGATCAGTGTTTAGTGAAGATCGCATTTTATATGTGATCTTGACTTTTTTTTCTTACATTATATTTTTTTATAGATTTTGTTATAATCATGGTGCTGGGGAAGGTTAAGAGTTTGACAATAAGCTTTGACTGTCTTAATGACAGTAATGTCCCTGTATATTCTAGTGGGGATACAGTCTCAGGAAGAGTGAATTTAGAAGTTACTGGGGAAATCAGAGTAAAATCTCTCAAAATTCATGCAAGAGGACATGCGAAAGTACGCTGGACTGAATCTAGAAATGCTGGATCCAACACTGCCTATACACAGAATTACACTGAAGAAGTAGAATATTTCAACCATAAAGACATCTTAATTGGGCATGAAAGAGGTAAGTTTTTTGTATTATTCAGAGGTCATAAAGGAATATTATTTTCTTTAATTTGCCTCATATTCTTTATGAATTGATGCAAATTAATTTTTCGCTTTTGCAGTTTAAAATCTGAACGTTTGTTGTAGAGAATCTTTTTGCAAACTTGAAATTTTGATTTTTTTTGACATTTATCGAGTATTAAGTAGCAATGCATTCGAGCCATCTGCAAAGTGACTGTATAGAGCACTTTGCTGAACTACCTCTAACACCTCAATCAGCCTCTTGCAATACGCACTTGCAATTAATGTGTGTGCCTTATGTCTAATAGCTTCTTCCTTGAGATTTAATCATTTTAATAGTATGATTTCCAGATGCATTGCTAGAAACTGGAGTCGAATCTCAAATGTCTTTTTTTTTTACTTTGCAATCTTGCAATAAAAGCATGAGTAGCATCTTTTAATGAATGCTTAGAGGTGCATTTTAGATTTTAACATCGACATGCAATGATTTTAGAATTAATCATTGTTCCTTGATAAAGGGTTTCCCGTAGCTTATTTTGACATATGCTATCAAACATCCCACGTGTTATTTTTTCCTCTTCTTTCCAATTCGGTTCAAAATTTACATCAAGCTACTTTTCTTCCTTTAAAAAAAAAGAGAGGGAAAAAAAGGACTATCATCATGGTAGGTTTAAATTTTGACCAAGAGGCCATTTAGGGTCAATTCTTTTCTTTTGAGAGCATCATTCCTAACTTTGGAACATACATTGAATGAAACCGGTGCCAGTCAAAAGGAAATGTAAAGGACTTCTCACCCGAGGTCTGATTTTGGTTAAAAAAGGAAGATAAAGACTGTCAAAGGGGGAAGAGGTCCAGAGATTGCTAATCTATTGTTTGAATGGATACATTGTGGAAATATAGCAGACTCTAAGCTTGTTTTTCTAAGTTTCCACCCTTTGTTAGAAGCGGTTCAATCCTGTTTCGGACCAGTACTGGGGGGGTGAGGAGGGGCGCCTGTTCTGCTCTCAGCAGATTGGTTACACGCGTCAGGTGGTGGCGATGACTTAATTCCTAGCACCAGAAGACTATAATGTTAAAACTGGTTATGTAATTCTTGGTCCTTCTCCTTTTTAATGCAGTATTTAGTTCAGACATTGACGATTTTGCAGATAGAATACAGATTTTGAGATGTTTTGGTTTTTTCTCCCCTCTTTTTAAAAAATATATATTCCTAGCTAAGTTATGATACCTCAAGTCTCAATCAAATGTAGGAATAAATGAAGAATGATACAACTTCCATCTATGATGCAGCATGTCAGGGTGTTAAGGGAAAACTGACATTTTCCATAGGAGAATAAAACATTTTAAAACTATTTGCCCATGATTTGTATCCATTAATTGTTAAGGCCCTCAAACATTAAACCACATCGTAAAGAGCAAATGCCTAATCGCATTCCTGTTGCTTATTCAAAAGCAGCCACGGGAGTTCGCAACTAATCACCTAAGCTATCAAGTCTTTTTTGCGGGGAAGAGGGGTAAATTGTTAAGGAAATACAAAAGATATGATGTGTTAAGAGAGCCTCGCAATGGTTGGGGGTGGGGAAGAATGGGAAAAAAAATTAGAGAACAGAATACACTTTAATTTGTGTCTGCCATATTTCATTAACAAGAACCTGTTATCACCAACCCCCACCCACTCACCACCCCCAGTCCAGCCAAACGCGGACCGACCTTAACCTGGAATAGTTTCAATGACTTAGACCAGGGACCTCTCAAACTAGCCTGGTAACCGAGGCCACGCCCCGTGCCGGCAGCGATAGGCGGAGTTTGGTTTGTTAGCCTGTTGCTAAGGCGATGCCAGCTGCTGATTGGATTGGGTGCCTGTCCCGGTGGGGAGAGGGAATTCAGTCAGGGAGGGGGCGAGGCTTGAGGATTCCAGTTCCTGGATTCCGGCGCGCGCCGGTACAAGGTTCCTCCTGGGCAGTCCGTCAATCAGTCTGCCTGCGGTCCCCATCCTTGTCCCTGCGCAGTCCCACGCAGCTCTCCTCTTACGCCGTTAAGCTGCGTTGCCATCCTTTCCTTTGCATTAACCTTCCCCCCCCACACACACACCCTTGTTGGGTGCCCTCTAATGAAAGTAATTGGGCTTTTTGTGGAATGAAAATGCTAATTTCTCTCCCCCCCTTTCCCCCTTGGCCTTGAGGATACCGGGATTGTCCTGGACCCTCCCGTTTTTAACTGGAAATAACCGGACTAGGCAGGTTTGGGGGAAATCCTTCCCTCATGGAGGAAGGTCTAAAAGAGTCAATTTTGTTGAAAAGGAAGGGTGTTTCCCACCCACCTTGCCATTCGATAACAAAGCGTGTTACCTTGCCGTGACCCAAGAGATGGATAGCCTGTACCCAAGATAGCAAACCCCTGGAGGAGAGGGGTTGACAAATCATGCTTAAGTATTACATTTTAATTACACCAGGGCTTCGTGTGCATGTGTGTGGGTGATGTGTGCATACACACCTTCCCTATCCAGGGGACCCTTTGCATTTCGTTTTGCGTTGCATTACTATATTTTCTCTTGATGACCCCCTCCCCCTACCTTTTTTTTTCTTTGTTCCAATTTCCAAAGCCGGTAACAACCGGCACCTAAAGGTGTCTGGGCCAAACGTAAGCAAAACCCTTTGGGACACTGGCCTGTGTGCAAAACCGGAAGCTTAGGAGAGGGTGTCATTGCACACACCAGCCCCCCCTTTCCCTTCCCTTCCCCCCCCCCCCCGGCTTCCCCACCCCTCCCATCCTCAGGTCTATCCAGCAGGGTAGGTTGCGCGTGAGCAAATGCGCTAGAGTGTAATGTATGCTGTATGTATATGGGAGGCTGGCTGGCTGGCTGGCTGGGGCTCAGCTCGCGCCGGTTTAGGCCGGTCCTCTCCTGCTTGAGTCGAGTCTGTGATTGACAGCTCAGCACTTGTTTACCACTGGGCTGGGGCTCAGGCTTCTGCTGCTGCTGCTGCCGCCCCTGCCTCCGCTGCTGCCTCTGTGCTGAGCCTCTCTAAGACTGCTGAGCTGGCACAAAAAGAGAGCAGTGAGAGATGGAAAAAAAGGGGGGGGACTTTGGGCTGCTGGAGGGCCAGAAATGTAGAAATGGCCATTTTAGCTAGCCATGGAGCCGCAATGAAATCATCATTGGGGTGAAATGTTTAAACCAGAGTGATTCTTGGATTTTGTGAAAAGTACAAAGCTGGGGGGGGAGGGGAGGGGTTTTTTTTAACCATTTCATATAATGGAAAAATAAGAACCAATCATTTATATATGTGTGTTCTTAAAATAGTTGAGGGGAAGAAAATAAGTTTATTTAGGGGAATGCAGTAATAACAAGGGGTGCAGCGCTAGGATTATAGGCTATGGAAAGAAAAGTGGCCTTTATGGCCATCACCCAGTATAGAGGAGGAAGAACACATGGACCAAAGACAGTCCCCTCCATTTTGGTGAAAGGCTTTCCTACAGTGTATATTAGTAATGACAATATGGGTCAGATGAAAGGGAAAGTCTGCTTAGCTTGTTGCCTGAAAGTTACAAACACCTCCCTGGGTTTCATCTTTCCAAAGGGTGGGACTCTATACACTAGACCCTTCCCTTTAAACAATGGTAGTTGCTTTGTAGTAAGTTGCCTCCTCCCCAACTCCATAATTTGATATTGTCAGGTAGCATTAAAAGGTAATTCTTATTACTTGCGAGGAAATTGTTTGCTGATGTTAATAGATATAAAGGGGAAAACAACTACCAAGGCTGAATAATATTTTTAGTTTAGAAGAAGTCACATTTTAAAGATGGGGGTGAGGGAAGCACATAAAAATCCACTGCCATAAAAGACTATTCTACGTGTATAAGTTTTTAAATTATTTTAAATTTGGAAAGTTTATATTCACTTACATTTTACCGTTTTGCAAAAAGAAACAAACTGATAAGTGGCCTAGTTTAAGAACTTAATATTTCCTTAAAATGGGCCCTTAATATGGCAAATCAAAAGACTTTGTGGGAGGGGAGAATTAAATTAAAATTTTGCCTTTTTGGATAAGTAGACACTTCTTTATAATTTATAACAACATTCATAATACTTCAAGACAGAATGGCATTTTTTCCCTTTTTTTTTATAGATGATGACAATTCAGAAGAAGGCCTCCACACTATTCATTCAGGAAGGCATGAATATGCATTCAGCTTTGAGCTTCCACAGACGTAAGTATTACATATAATTCCCATGTTTCACCAAATAGTCAAAAGCATCCTTTTAAAGTTTAAAAAAATTCTCAGGTCTACATTTTTACATTTATAGTTGCAAAAAAACACCACAATACACACACGCACACACCAAACCAACAAAAAAAAAAACCCTTTTCATTACTGAGGAAATGTACTAAAAC